AGGAAAATAGTAGCGGTAGCAGTATCCATGGAGAGTATAGTTCTTCACCAAACTCAATGAAATCGATTTTGAAGAAACGCGGTATTCAAAATGGCATACCGTCGCCAGTGGTTGGTCGCAGAGGATCAGCACCTCTTGAGGTTTGAAGATCTGCGATTTCAGACCCTTGGAGAGCCGGTGCCGCAGTGGGATAAGAAAATCATACAGATGAAAAAAATTTGAGTCCGCAACATCCTTAACTTTTGCACTACCAACCCCAAATTCGAGTGTACTATATTGTTAAGCTTTAGTATCTTTTGAGTTGTTAAGACACCAAACTTTACTGTCCGTCTGATTCAGCTCAAAAAATTGACAGTTTTTCACTGTTAAAAAATTTCGTCATCATCGAAATATGAAGCAGCAGGAGATTTTCAAGTGAGGCAGTTGGGAAATGTAGAAACTAGGGAGTACTTCTAAAAGATTTTTGTAAGGGTAGGGGAAACACTTACTTTTCTAGATGACCACTTTATGATAATATATCTTATAATCTTTTGACTGCAAAAATCGTAAATAAAATAAACGGTTTAAAATCTAAGAGGCAAAAATAATGAAACGTTTGAAACTTTTCTGGAAAAATGGCGCTTTTTTATCTCTTCTGGAACTGAAGAGGCCCTTCAGCATCTCTTTTCTCCTTCACAGGAAATGACTGAAAGATGTTTGAATCGGTGCACAAAGAAGTGCTGGTTGTGTTTTTTAAAGACTACAGCCTATTACCCTACGAACCTCTTTAAAAGCTAGAACAGGAAGCTTCCTCCGGTACAAAACTTTTTTGCTTTAGTTCTTTTACCAGTCTTTTTTGTTTTCTATCGTTTTCCCTGGAGCATGTTCTCTAGCACTTTGGGAAAATCTAAGTAAGTGGAAATCCATTTCTTTTACTTTCTTCTCTCTTCTTTTAATGCATTAAAAAATATCTTCGTAAATCTAGCACTGTTTTCCAGGACTGGTCGGTGGGTTCGTCATCGAATCGCGCCGCAACGCCAGCATTTCCGGTGCGGAGGGAAACACCGCTTCCATACCACCCGCTTTTATTCGAAGGTGCGAAAGATGTAATGCCTCCAATGCAACCCATCAATATCAATTACAGGTCAGCCTTTTTTTAACTTTTTTTTGAACCAATTAGGACGGCTTCAAAATAATTCAGCTTTTTTATTGCCTGGAAGCCTTTTTTATTGTTCATTTCAAACTCGAAATTTTTTCTCAGCCGAAGTTTTTTTCGAATTTTTAGAACCATATAAAAAGAAAGCATTTTGAAATTTCCTCGAAAAGGACTGGTAGTAATGAGGAGTTTTTTTCCAGAATGCTTGTGCCATTTCTAATTAACTTCAAGAAAGGGACAAACTGTCGAATAAAATTTTTCCGTTCTAATTAGTGACACAACAATATTTCTTTTAAAACATCGAAGAAATTGGTTAAAAAAGTTGGAAGTTGACGCACATCACTTGCAAAAAGAAAGTTATTTGCCTCTGCTTTGGCATTCTCCATCAAGCAGAATTAGGTATCTCTGAAAATTATTGACTGAAAGTGTCACATTTGCACACCTTTTGTTTCAATTCTTTAAAATCATGAATTATTTGTGCCTAAATGTGGTTTCTGTCACTCACCTTGTCTACAATGTCCTCATTATTTAGGTCCGCGTCGCCTCGCTCAGGCTATTACGCATCGAGCCGTCGCACATCAATGTCATCAACAGGTTTCTTTTAATTACCTTTTTGTTTCTGATTTTAAAATTTATTTTTTGTTTTTCTGCATTGTTCCAGCCTTCCATTTCAAATTTTATACTTTTTTGACTCAGAAACCTCACTTTTTTCCGGCTCTTTTCGACGTTTCTTTTTCACAATCACAGCCAAACAGAATTTTTACGATTTGGTGCGGCTAACTGTACGTGAAATGTTCCTGTTTTATATTTTGTCTCTGATTACCCTAATTTCTGTCTTACATGATTCCAAGGTTTTTCTTCGAACCAAAATGCTTCTCCGTGCGAAACTGAAAGAGCTGTGTTATATCTTGAAAACAATGCATCGGTTTGTCTTCTGCCCGAGTACTGTTGAGATTGATTCTGATACTTCGCATTCACTGCGATAATTAATTAAAGCAGCGTTTAAGTTCATTTGCAGATTTTTTTAGGGCAAGAAATGTTGGGGTTTTTTGTAGGATTACATTCTTTTGACAAGCAGTTTCATATTTTCCCTCTGAAATTGTTGACACAGTCAACCAAATTCACAAAAATTCTTAACCTACACAGGTGAATTATGTTTTCCCAGTGATTCATGACTTTTTTAAGCGAAATTCTCTTCAATGAAACGGAAATTTGGATTTTTCTGTTTTCGATTCTGAATTCATTTTGCAAATACGGAATTTATACGGAAAATAATGTCGGATAAGCGAAAGCAACAATGATCGCTTAGGCTATTAATATTTACGATCATGTGCTGTTAGCTGTCCGTACGCAAAAGGCTAATTTGATGAGTGCATGACGAAGAAGCCATTGAGCTTCGCTAAGAATTTGTGTTGGCCGACACTATGCAAATGAGAAAAATGAATGAATTCATGAAGCGCTAGTTTGCTAAGTTTTACAAATATTAATTTTTAAAGCATCGTCACCAACCCGCAAGGCTTTGGCAAAAAGAGATTTCCCAGAAAATTGTCTTTTAACTGTGGATACACGTCTTCTTTCTTAAGCTACCAGAAATTGTCAAAACCTTTGTTAAGAGAGGAAGTGCTGTTTGGCCTAAAAACGAAATGAAAATAGATTCCAGCAATATGGCGTTTGAGCTTGTCTGAAAACCTTGAAATGGTACCTAACGATAAATATGTAGACGATAAAATGACTGGCCAAGTAGTGAAATCCAAGCTGGGACGCACCAGACTTTCCGGTGCGATCATGCGTTTTGCATTAAACTCGCAAATCGCTATTAGCAAGATTGATCCCACACTGTAGCCTAACTCTTGGGCTCATATTGGCCGTGCTTTGATCCTTTCCAGTATGCAGGAGAAAGGGCGTTAGTTGGGATGAAGGTGGTATATTATAGAGCCGCACGGACATCCAGGTGCATGATTACCAGTTTTTATGCGTTTTTGCCTATATGCAAATTGCAA